AGTTCAGCAACTTCTTCACCGGAGAAAGACCCCAGCAACAAGAAAAGAACAATGGAAAGGAGCCACGTTGACATCCGGGTAAAGAAGATGATGGATTGGCTAAAACCCAAGACCAAGAAGTATAAGAGACTATACCCCAAAGATCCCAGCGTGCATCTTTGGTGGAGTGGAGACTCCCCTGCGCACCCAGCGCTGCTTGCTTATTGCCTCTTGATATTAATCAATTGTAATAAAATAATTGAATTAGACCATGGCTGAGACGAAGTTTTCCTAACAGTGAGGTCTCACAAGAGCAGAGTAGAGGGGCAGGATCACCTCCTTCGACCTGCTGGTCACGCTCCTTTTGATGCAGCCCAGGATATGGTTGGCTTTCTGGGCTGCAAGTGCACACTGCCGGCTCATGTTCATTTTCTCATCGACCAGCACCCCCAAGTCCTTCTCTGCAGGGCTGCTCTGAATCTCTTCTTTGCCCAACATACACCACTGGGAAAGTACACAATACTTCTGCATCCCCCGCCTGTCTTCTGCATCCCCCTGCTTCTCCCTTTACAGCTGCCCATATATCGTGAGGGTCTGGGGGATATAAATCAGGCTCCTTGATACAGAGGGTTGACCAATGTACAGGGGGGTAGTACAGGGGGTTGTACAAGGGGGTTGTACAAGGGGGTTATACAAGGGGGTTAGAGGAATTTGCTTGCTTAAACAAAAGGACTATCTGTTGTAAATGCCTGCTAAGCAGAACAGAGACCTCCGGTCCTGTTGATAAGCAGACGCCTGAATCTACTGATAAAGGGGAGAAGCAGAGGATTTACGGCTGGGACACTGACCAAACTCTAAGGCCACACGTAAAGACTAAAAAAGGTGAAAAGTGCAAGAAGGGGAAGACTCATTTACTTCATCTTGAAGACCCCTACCCAGAGGAGGAAGACTCATTTACTTCATCTTGAGACCCCTGCCCATGACCAGAAGGGGCACTTCGCAGGCGCAGAGGACCTTCTGGCTCATTATAATACGAAGCGGGGATAGGACATGAATATGTATAGGCATGTTGTGCAACCTTATGAATATATATAACTTTAGAGAATAAATGTAGAGGGAAACAACACTGAGGTACGCATGACTTTGAGGAATTATCCCCGTGTGTCTCAGCGCTGAATAAAAAGTATGCCTACTTTACAACTTTAACGAGTTGTGGAGTCAATCTGCGCATCATCCTTTTCTGGATCCATAGGCCCTGGGTCAAAGGACCATTCAGGTCAGCATCAGAATTATCAGGCGGCAGAACCACAGGAACAACAACAGCAGACTGTTTTTTTGATCTCATGGCAGAGTCAGGCAAAGAGGGTGGTGGTGAGACAAGGAGGCACAAAAGTACAAAATGTAATCAGTTCTAAGTAATTTTAAGTTTGATGGCTTTGTAATGGAAAATAACTGCGGTGCTTGGAGGTAGTTGACATAGTTTCAGGCCCTCAGGGCCTCAGTACAAAAGGTGTGAGAAAAGCAGAATAGACGGACAGGACCTGGGATGGGGAGTATCCCGGACTAGCAGATGTCCAGGATGAGAGCAGTTAAACTAACTGATAAGTAGAAGGCCAGGATGATTGCTATGTCTGTAATGTTAATTAAGCTTGTTGGGAAAAGTAAACGACCCTTAAAGACCACCACATTTTTGTATGCATGCCGGAAACCTTTTGGAAAATGATGTAATATGCTCAGTGACCATATAAGGATGACCTGTATAGCAATTCGGGGACACACGTTAGGAGGAGCTATCCCCCGTGTCTCCCGGCACCGCAATAAAGAATACCTGCTTGTCAACTTGAAACTCTGTTGGCAAGTTTGCTCCTGGAGTTTTCTCCGAATCAATTTGGTGACCCAGGTGGGACCCTCTCTGCTCGGCTGCAGGACCCGCTGAGGACAGGGCTCCCTAGGGCCCTTGGGAGTTTTTCCCGGAGGGACCCCTCGACTCATTCAGATCACTGCGGGAGCAGACAAGGACCATCTTATAAAAGGTATTCTTTTCTTTTATATAGTCTTTAAGACGCAGGGGGCATCTCGGTTTGGTAAATTGGTTTGGTAAGCGTACGCACTGTGAGGAAGCCTTCCGTAAATCGAGATAGGAAATCTCGTGGGTAAAGGCGTATACCCTGCTGCTAGCGTCCGTTTGGTATACACCCACAAGAAGCAGTGGGCATCTTGTGGTTTGAGTCCGACAAGATGCAGTGGGCGTCTTGCACTATTATATGCACAAGAAGCAGTGGGCATCTTGTGGTTTGGGTCCGACAAGATGCAGTGGGCGTCTTGCACTAAAGGTTTTACACACAAGAAGCAGGGTGCATCTTGTGGTTTGGGTCCGAGAAGACTCATTGGGCGTCTTGCACTAAAGGTTTTACGCACAGGAAGCAGGGGGCATCTTGTGGTTTGGGTCTGACAAGACGCAGTGGGCGTCTTGTAGGAAAGGTTTTTGATTTTACTGGTATTTGACTTATGTTGTGGCTTGTTATAGTTATGATTGTGGTCTTGTGATTTTGGTATTGATGACAGACTTTTATAACTGTTAATTGTTAGTTTGACAGCATTTTGGTCTCTTGTCTGTGTTGTAACTGTGTGGAGTGTGTCTGTGGGATCCTGTGTGTGTGTGAATGCGAGATTGATGATGGGAAATCAGCAGGGTGGAGAAATCTTGAAAAAGAGTCCTTTAGGGTGCATTTTGGCACATTGGAAAGAGCTGGGAGGGTCTACTGGGGACTCAGTAAATAAGAAAACGTTGGTGAAATATTTTAACCAATGGTGGCCGTTGTATACTCTGGAGGATCAGGAGAAATGGACTAAAAATGAAACTCTGAATTATAATACATTGTTACAATTAATGTTGGTTTTGAGGCGGCAGGGAAAATGGGATGAAGTAATGTATGCAGATATGTTTTTTACATTGCGAAACCACCCAGAATGGCAGAAAGGTTGTGGAATTAATATAGCACCTTCGGATCCTTTAATTTTAGCCTTAGAAAAAGAAAGGAAGCAGGGTGGGAATAGATTGGAAAGATGTTGTTCTGGTTGTGATATTGGGGAACTGTGTTTGAAACTTAAGAAAAGAGCTGAGGATACTATGGCTGGGGACAGGATGAAGGATTATGTTTCTCCGAAGATACCGGATCAGAGATCACCTCCAATTCAGGAGGAATCCTCTGATTCAGATGAAGAGCAAAAAAAAAAGGGTAGAAAAGAATTCTTCCACTCCTGTTGCCGCCCGTGTCCGTAGTAAAACCAAGACTGTCCTGCAAGCCCTTCTTAGGGAATCAATGGGACCGGAGGGGCGTACCAGGATAAAAGTAAACTTCTCTCTGGGAGATTTGGATAACTGGAAATGGATTGCAAAAAACTATAGAAATGACCCCATAGGGGTAGCTAAGAAATTTGAAATGCTGGTAAAAAGTCAGGATACTGATTGGAAGGATATAGATGTAATATTGGATGCATTAACAGAGACAGAAAAACAATTGGTTATAAAAACTGCTTGTACCCAGATAAATGCTCTAATTACTGCAGGGGTGATAGCTGGGAGGGTTGAAGATCATATCCCTCTTGCAGCTCCAGACTGGGATTATAATGATGCTGGAGATTATGCATCTTTAAAGAGATATCAAAATTGGATTAAATATGGGCTTGAGAATGCTATACCTAAAGCAATAAATTGGTCGGTGCTATTCGAAATAAGACAGGGGCCAAAGGAGTCACCGACAGAGTTTCTGGACAAACTCAGAGAAACTATGCGAAAATACACCACAATGGATCCTTCCTCAGAGGAAGGGAAATTACAGCTTGCAAATTCCTTTGTGAGGCAGTCATCAGAGGATATCAGACGAAAGCTCCAAAAATTATCTGCGGCTGAAATAAGAAATATAGAAAAATTATTGGAAGTGGCCTGGAAAGTATACAGGAATAGAGAACAAGTAAAAGAAAAATTAGGAAAGGTTTTGGCAAAAGCCACAGTCGCAGCATTGGAACAAGCAAATGAGGGATATAATGGAATGAGAGGTAGAGGGCGTGGCCGGGGAATGGTGACAAAAGGTAGAGGAGGGGATTATAGAAGGACTTCTCTTAGTCCGGATCAATGTGCAAACAGTCCAACAATTTTTGGAAACCAGTTAGCACGGGAATTAGAGTCATGGAAACCACCCACTCAGACGGGAACTCTGTTACAATATGTGGATGACTTATTAATTGCTACTGAAACAAAGGAAGAATGTATCCAGTGGACAGTGGGATTATTGAATTTTCTGAGACTGAATGGTTATCGGGTATCCAGGCAAAAGGCCCAACTAATTCAAACCCGAGTTTCCTACCTAGGATATGAAATAATAGGAGGACAGAGAGAACTTGGAACTGCTAGAAAAGAAGCTATTTGCCAAACTCCATGGCTGTCGACCATCAAGGAGCTCTGGATGTTCCTGGGAATGACTGGATGGTGCAGACTTTGGGTCCATGATTATGGTGTTTTGGTAAGACCACCATATGAACTGTTGAAGGGAAACCCTCCCTCTTTAGAATGGACTGATTCAGCAGAGGAGGCTTTTAGAAATTTAAAACCAGAGCTGATGAGAGCTCCAGCTCTGGGACTTCCAGATGTGACTAAACCCTTTTGGCTATACTCCTATGAAAAACAGGGAATCGCTCTGGGGGTCCTCGCTCAGAAACTGGGACCCTACAGAATGGCAGTGGCATACTTTTCAAAACAGCTGGATGAAGTGAGCAGAGGATGGCCTGAATGCCTCAGGGCTGTGGCAGCAGTTGTCATGAATATTGAAGAGGCTCGCAAATTCACCTTGGGACAAAGGATTACTGTGCTAGTGTCCCATGTTGTATCAGCAGTCCTGGAACAGAAAGGAGCCCACTGGTTATCTCCTTCACGTTTCCTAAAATACCAGGCCACCCTTGTGGAGCATGATGATATAGAAATTGTGGTCACTAATGTTGTGAATCCAGCATCCTTTTTGCAGGAACAGTCGGCAGAACCACTGACACACGACTGCTTGGCCACCATAGAGACTGTATATTCTAGCCGACCAGATTTGAAAGAAAAACCACTGGAAGATGCTGATTCTTGGTTTACTGATGGTAGCAGCTTCATGAAAAACGGTGAGCGAAAGGCAGGCTATGCCGTTACAACCACTACACAGGTAATAGAAGCTAAACCTTTACCTGCGAACACTTCTGCCCAGAAAGCAGAAATAATAGCACTAACAAGAGCCCTGGAATTGGCTAAAGAAAAAAGGATAAATATTTGGACTGATTCTAAATATGCATTTGGTGTGGTTCATGCACACGGTGCCATTTGGAAAGAACGAGGATTTTTGAACACACAAGGGAAACAGATTAAACATGCCACAGAAATTCTACGGCTACTGGAAGCTGTTCAGCTACCTGAGGAAGTAGCTATTATGTACTGTCCAGGGCATCAACAAGGTGACTCTCATCAGGAAATTGGAAATAATTTGGCCAACTTTGAAGCCAAACGAGCGGCTGAACAATCTAAAATTATGTCCTTAATCCCTGACGGCAAACTAACAATTGAGAAATCTAAACCTAGATATTCAAAGGAGGATAGAAAATTGATTGAGGATCTCAAAGGACAGGAAAACAAAGACGGTTGGGTTCAGATTCCTGATGGGTGAATTGTAATCCCCTATAACCAACTCTGGAGGCTAGTTCAAGAGGAACATAAGAAAACTCATTGGGGTAGCAACTCTTTGTATAAATATTTAGACAAACAAATTGTAGGAAGGAATCTATACATCACAGTTCAACTAGTGACAAAGCAATGTCAGCTCTGCCTTAAGAATAATCCTAAAACTGAAAACAGAAATCAAAATGGGGCAATTGGGAGAGGAAGTTATCAAGGACATCAGTGGCAAATAGATTTTTCTGAATTACTGAGAAAAGGAGGTTACCAATATTTGTTGGTATTAACGGATACTTTTTCAGGCTGGCCAGAAGCATTCCCTTGTAGAATAAATAATGCATGACAAGTAATTAAAACATTATTAAATGAGATAATACCTCGTTTTGGAGTACCAGCGGCAATTTCTTCTGACTGAGGCTCGCACTTTAGTGCAAAATTGTTACAAAAATTTAGCGAAAAATTAGAAATTGATTGGAAACTGCATGTTCCATACAGGCCTCAGGCCAGTGGGCAAGTAGAAAAGATGAACCATCTGATTAAACAACAGATTAGTAAAATACGCCAAGAAACAAACTTATATTGGTACCAAGCTTTACCATTGGCCCTATTAAGAATTTGAACTAAACGTCAGTCAAAAGAAGGGGTTAGCCCATTTGAAACGTTATATGGAAGACCATATCAGTCCCAGTTTAAAGGACAGAGCCTTCAGGAAGTGGGAGAAGGCTATCTCCAACAGTTTCTGGTCAATCTGGGAAAACAATTAGAAGAAATAAATAAGAGAATAGTAGGGACAAGAGCAAGAGGTTTGGATTACCCAATTCACCCTTTTAGATCCGGAGACTGGGTTTACGTTAAGAATTTTTCAGGAGATCCTCTACAGGAGAAGTGGAGCGGACAGTACCAGATATTATTTGTAAGCGGCGAGGAGAAGCAGACAGGCCAACCCAATATGGGTGATAAGCAACTTCTACTTTATTTGTGACGCAGTTCACACATATATAGGAGTGGTATTCAGCCACTCCTTCTTGGCATAACAGTATTGGTTAGCCCCCACAGCTTCCTCCACATTCTCCTCCCAGGTCCGGTCTCCAACCACCTGTGGGGGCCACCCCCTGCCTTGCTTGCACAGTCCTCCAGACCTCTATGGTCCTGCTCTTAGAGTCATTCTGCAACAATTCCCCCCTTTTCCTTTGTGCAAGCAAGGCATTATGGGTTATTCTGTTCACCTGTTTTATCACACAACTATAAACAAGTCTAATAGCTACGATGATTAACCTAACAATGATACATAAGTGCAATACTTCAAACAACAGTGTTTGACTCAACCTGTAATGCCCCGTGAAGACAACCATCTAGTTATTCTTAGGATATTGCTCATTTACTATTGCTGGGTAAGCTGAGCCAGGGTTCTCAGCTGTGCGTGCATCAAATTAACATAATCAGAGAGACTCATACAACACATTCTATCAAACTCTTCACATCCATGTCCGTGTTCCAACAACAAAAGGTTCTGCAGTGTTGCATGTCTTACAGAGTCAACATTAAAACAAATCAGAAATTGCCTTCGATGTAGAATTGTCTGCTTAGCAACTCAGCAACCCAGTCTGCTTAGTTGAGTCAAGGCCCAGGCTGAAGCACTTACAGTGATTTGGCATATTATGATTGGATACATGTTTTGAAGACCCTTAGTGACTAAAATATAATTGGTTAAACACAGGTGTGAGAACTCAACCTTGAAAGCTTGCCAACAGTCCACAGTTCTCATTAACTTGGTGAATTCCAGCCTCTTATCTTGCTTGCTTAAGCTTCTTCAGGCCTCTCATGGCCTTTCTGTATCTTTCAGGACTATTCAAAGTTTATGTACCAATTATGCATTCTCCTGTGAGAACACTGTCTCCACATCTCCCCCCTTTTGTTTTATCCAGTAACAAGTCACTACTACAGCAAGGCACACACACATTTACATTAGCAGAGTAACTATTACAGGGTGCAGCAGCAGCATGTTGAAGATGCTGATGGCAGTGAAGGACTAGCCAAAGAAATTTCTTACCAGTGGAATTCTCCCCCCCTCTTAATTTGTTCCATCACCTGCTTTATAACACTACCATTGTATTAAAATTTTTCTAGCTTTTGCCTTAGCATTTTCTAGCAGCTACTGCAAATTTCCATACTCTAACATCTCTTTTACAAGTGACAAATCTATACAATACAAGGTGCAGTTTCTTATTAGCAACTAGCTAGTAAATACAGGTGGTTTTATACACAAAATCACAACCTCTAATATAGCTACTTTACAAGCACACATATTCAGGATGTTACTTTTCAGTTGCCCCCAAGTGATGTTTTGCAGTTATTTGTTCTTTCTCTTCCTCTATCTCATTCTGCTTGGGGTAATCACGGTCAGCTCCTGTAGCTGAGGCATCAGGTTTATCCATTCGTCTGTCCAGCTCATGGCAGGGCTTGACAAACTTTGCAGACAGTCACCATGGACCTGTAGGCAGGAGGGCACAAATATACCCCCTCCCCCAGGTTATCAGTTCTTCAGAAGTAGACAGGTTAAAGTTAAATGTAACATCATTACTCTCTCTCTCCCCCCTATTTTTTTTTTTGTCCCTGCAAAAGCTATCATTATTCCCACTACAGTTCCACGTACAGAATGTGGCACAAGGACCCTGTGGAGACTAACAGCAAACCAGCTCCGAGAAGCATCATTGCAGTGTGAGGTGGCAGGCTCAACCTTAGCGGGTGTCCCCACAGTGGCTCTGCCTCCCCCACATCATATGAGGCTTGGGCTTTTATACTGACCAAAATGCACACTCATTCCAACACAGGTGGCCAGCCTGTGCTGGAAGAAGTGGCCAGCAGTATCTACAGAGGTCTCCAAGGGTTGATAGAAACCTGGACATACTTATATTTACCAACTTCTAATACATGAGAATCACAGAGAAACTGCATGGGCTCCCCCTGTCAATTGCAAGAAAAAACTCATAACATATACAGCTTGAGTATAAGAGGATTTTAACGCATACGTGGTCACTGCTTGTCAGGCCTCCTTAACTATTTTGAGATCAAGAGCTTCCCACTCTTTAGCCCCCTGCTGTGTAGTAAACACAGGATATGCAAAGATGCCCATTGCAGAAAATTCCCCAGTAATGTTCACCTCTTTGGTTACCCATTGTTACAACTGAGCGTCTCCAGGGCCAGTAAGTCTGAGGAGACCGACCCGGGAGACAAAGAGTCAGGGTCTGGAAGCAGAGGATACAAATCTGGCTCGGATTCAGGGGCTGATCCTGCGCCGAACTCGGGGTCTCCGTTGCTCGCAGCTGTGTCTTTCTTATCAGGTGTATCTCGTTCGGTATGTAGCCATCTGCAGACCTGGCTCCTCCGTGACTGAGTTAAAAAATTTTTCACTCTAGGGCGTAGTGGGTTGGAGAGGCTCGCGGTTCCTTTAAATCTCCTGCTAGCGCATGATCCCTATTTTCTACTGCGTGCTTCACAGTGGCGCCGCAATCGATCCGGCGCCGAGGCACCGCCCTCTTTCTTTCGAATTTCCTCGACATTTATCATGCGTATACCTTCTAATATACTTTCTCTGTCCTTTTCAAAGTCCCTACTTTCGGAACTGGGGTGGTGGGGGAGCAGGGGGTTACACCTCCTCCGCGGCACCTTCTGATGGGGGGGGGGGAGAAAAGAAAGGGGGGGGTACGGGGTGGGAAACCCTGTGCTCCCGCGAGTTGGGGGGGGGGAACGAGTTGTAATCTTCCCCCGGTTTCAACCGACCGGGGACGTCTGTTCCTAGTTTCTCCGTTGCTACCGCGGCAGTTTTCTTTTCTGCCTTGTATCTTTTTATACAGTTCATTACTTCCCTCCGTGGTTTACCGAGTTTCTTTGCCTTTTTATAATCTTTAAGCACTGAGTCAAGTAGTTCATCACCAAACTTTCGCCACTCACTCTCCTCAAATATTATATTAGGATCTGCAAAAAATCCCTTAGCCTTCCCTACAGCCACTAGACCTGCTAGCTGCTTTAGAGTCTCAGGCTCAATTCCCCGCTTTTATAAAAAGCACTGTAAAAAGTTCAGGGCTCAGTTCTCCGCTTTTATAAGAAGCACTGTAATAAGTCCAGGGCTACCTCTCGGTCCATTTTCATGGCCAGCCTTTTCCGGATCGTCTTCTTCTGGGTCGTCCTGTAACCTCGGTCTCCGGACCGGCCTCCCGACGCAGCAGTGTCTGGTTTGCCCCAGCGGCGGATCCTTTTTTCGGTTGGTCCAAGCACCCGGGTCCGTCACGCCACCGCAGCAGCATTGCCCGCGTTTCCCGGCCGCTGCCGCCGGCGCCGCTCACTCGCCGTTCCGGGTCCCCGTTAAACCGGGGCCCTGTATCCCGGGTCCCCGTTAAACCGGGGCCCTGTATCCGGGTCCCTGCTAGTCGGGGCCCTGTATCCCGGGTCCCCGTCGACCGGGGCCCTGTATCCGGGTCCCTGCTAGTCGGGGCCCTGTATCCCGGGTCCCCGTCGACCGGGGCCCTGTATCCGGGTCCCCGCTAGTCGGGGCCCTGTATCCCGGGTCCCCACTAGTCGGGGCCCTGTAATCCGGGTCCCCAGCGACCAGGGCCCTGTAGTCCGCGTCCCTGTTCGGGCGCCATTTGTAAGCGGCGAGGAGAAGCAGACAGACCAACCCAATACGGGTGATAAGCAACTTCTACTTTATTTGTGACGCAGTTCACACATATATAGGAGTGGTATTCAGCCACTCCTTCTTGGCATAACAGTATTGGTTAGCCCCCACAGCTTCCTCCACATTCTCCTCCCATGTCCGGTCTCCGGTTACCTGTGGGGGCCACCCCCTGCCTTGCTTGCACAGTCCTCCAGAACTCTATGGTTCTGCTCTTAGAGTCATTCTGCAACAATTATTGACCGCCTTTACAGCAGTGAAGATAAAGGAACAACCTGCTTGGATACATTATTCAAGAATAAAGAAAGCACCAGAACCTGAGAAGACATGGCGGATCAAACCTTCAGGACCCTTACGTATGAAATTGTATCGGTCATAATTTGGACTTATATGACAACTGGCGTACCAGCTTGGGACCAAAACTTATACCTGAAGTTAATGCAGAATGTTACTCATGTTTTTAATCGTAGTGACTGCTGGGTGTGTGCACAGTTGCCTAAATCAGGAGAAAATCCGGACCTACCTTTAATTGGCGTTCCAATTCCCAATACTGTGTCATGGACTAATTTGTGGGTAAACATCAGCAACCTATATCCAAGGGAAAGGTTAAAATTTGGGATAGCTGATCTTAGTCCAAGTTGAGAATATTATACCTGTATACAAAGATGTATCACCCTAGGAACCAGAGTAGGAGACTGTGTTTGTTTAAATGCCACAGGTGTAGGTCACTACTCCCATTGTAATCATGCTAGTAATATAGATGGTATAGTGGTTCAGAGGTGGCCCATTCCTGAAGGAAAAGGATGGTACTGGTTATGTGGGAAAAATGCTTATAAGACCCTACCCCCCAATTGGAAGGGGGCATGCACCTTAGGTGCTGTGATACCAAATCTTACTACTATTGACATGCATCCTCCTGGAACCTGGGTTAGAAGTTTTGCTAAATGGATTAAGTTTTGCTAAACGGATT